CAACTAGGAAGCATCTTACTAAGTTTATAAGAAGACTATGATTTCTTATATTTATTTTAAGTAATGTATAATTAAATTATGTAATGTTATGTTAAGTTCTTCTTAAAGCAACTCATTTCATTTTGCACCAATTTAGTGCAATATAAAGTGATAAAAAGTATATACTCATTCTCATTTATTTTGAAAAGGTGAGAAAGTTAAAATTTGTTCACAAAGGAATTGTGGCAAGTATTCTTTGTAACCTTCAGGAATTGTTTATGAATGAATTTGCGTAAATTTTGTATTAACCAACCTTAATCCTGTATTATCATAATTTCAGTTCTATTAATTTTACTTTTGTAATTCTTGCTATTATTAAATACTCAAGATTTCCTGGTGGAAGGATTTTTTGGTGACATATAATTAAGTACAGCTCTACACAGGTATGAAAATGATAATTGAACCCTAAACACACTTCCTTAATTAAAAATGGCTTAAAATAGTTAAAAATCTACTTCTGAAACACAGTTTAGATGATTCAATAATATGTTGGATTTCATATTTTAATGTAAGGAATTCTGAATTAACAAGATCTACAATTGGTAAGGGAAGGCAGAAAACCCAAATGTGAAATCTTCGCAAACAAATTTTTTTCTTCTAACAGGTCTTCGGCTTTCTTAAGTCCCTGCTATTGTTGGTTTTTATTATTATTATAATTATTTTATTTATAATTAATTGGGCCACATTTTATGAAAGAAACTTTGAGCATGAATTTTTTTTTGCACATGGACATTAAATGCAACTTGTGAGTGTATCTCCTATTTTCTGTGGGCTGTAATTGTTTGGATTCATTCAAGAAATGGTGATCAGTGTTTCAACAGTCAGGTGGCTCACCTTCCATTGCTGAGGCAGAGGTTCAATCTACATTCAATCTATTTGAAATTTGTGCTAGATAAAGTGGATTCGTGGGAGGTTTTCTTGGTTCTCCCATTCCCTCTGCCTCTCATTCAATAATAATCTCCCTTAATTACATAATTTTCATATTTACATCTCAACACAAATGCCTTACTGGGCAATGACAATATGTAAGTTTCTAGCTTCAGAATGATGGTTGTTTGAAACTCACCATTCCAATAATATTTAATGACACCAAACAAATAATATTTAAAAACACAGTAGATGAGAATACCAATCATAGTATTGCCTCTGTTACTGTAAATTAAATTGAATCTTGGAGATTATATTCCAGATTTTTAGACATTTTGGGGAGCAATAATTTCATGAGACTGATATTTGGTCTCTAAAGTAAACATGAAAATGACACGTTTAATATGGTAAAATCCAATTGCATAGAGGAACTCCATTTCAAAATGATTAATTTGTAGAAAAATGTCAATATGTCATTTCCTTTTCATGATAAATGAATCAAACTGTTTAATGTGAAATTTTAATTTTCTCTGTTCATTCAAGTTCTGGAGACTAAGGTTTCTTGATCAAGTAAGTTCTTTAATCTTTTAATGTGAAAAAATGTAATTATTCTCCTTGATGCTGCTCCAATTGAACAATTGCACATTTCTGGATCATTGGGATTACTGGGTAAATTTACTGTGATAAGAATTACTTCAATGAACAATTCAGCTTTTTTTTTTTTTTTTTTTAACAATCGTAGAATTTTATAGTAGTTATACATTTGATGAGCCTAAACCAGAATTTTTATTGAAATGAAATTGGCTGTGGCAGTTTTGACGTTAGGTCTCGTGAATGTTGATATCCTTCTGATAGATGAAATGCAGTCGTTGAGATCATTTTTGTTGTTTTACTCATTTTGCTAACAATTTTTTTTTTTTTTTTTCAGTTTTTTAAATTTTATGTGGCATATTGATGTCAATTTTATTTCTTGGATTTCAATTTGTGTGTGTGTGTGTAGAAGTCAAAAAATTAAACAGTTCTCTTCAGAAAATGATGAGAAAAAGTTGAGCAAACAAAACATCAAAGTCAGACTGCTTTCTTGTATAATTTCTTTAGTATAAGTTGAATTTATTTATCTGCTGTAATGTTTAGGATGGTTTTCTTGGTTCTTTGATTTTTTTATCAATCCTTCCCTTTTTGTTTCTTTGTTCCTCTCCAGGAGCTGAATATTTCTTTCACTTTATGAAAAGTAATTTCTCATAAAAAATGATAAATTGCTCGTATTTTTTTAAATCTTGCATTATTACATTTGACCTTGTACATTTAAATATAGCCTTAGTTCCATAAAGAACTTTAATTTTTTGATTCAAAAGTTCATCTCATTGTGAACCTTGCATAATTTCAATATACTGTTTTATTTTAATATTTCTTTTTTTCTTTATTTTTATTATAAGAACTATCTAAGGTAAAGCTTTCAAAACTTCAGCCTCAAGTTGGGGTCGGTCACATTCAAATCGAGCCATAGCATAATCAAGCTGAGAGTAATCACATTCAGATTGGCATTTGACAAATTGGGAACAAGAATGAAAAGCAGTAGTAGTTTCAATTCCATTTTGATATTTAATGGTTCAATAACTAGTAAATACACAAATGTTTTGCATTTATATAATTTCCTAATTAACCTTTTTTTTATTCCCAAGTTGAATATGTTTTGCCTTAATGGTGGAGTGATAAGTTTTTTTTCTCTATAAATATTATAAATTTATATTAGTATTATGTACATCTTATCTCTTTATTTTATTTAATGAGATATAATTATATTTTACCTATGCAAATTAATTTCAATTGAGAAGGCTCTTTGTACTTATAACATTTGATCACAATTTGACTTTAAAAATGTATCAATCAATTGAGGAGTCTTTCAGTTGGTAGCTCGTCCTCTGACCTGCAACATAACTGAGATATACACAAGTCTTGAGATTTAATCCAATTGTTATGAATATTGTGCTCTACAGGGTGAATTCCACTTTTGTAACAGCTCTTTCCAGACTCTTATATAATGCTTACAAAACGGCAAAGTTGGATTGCATGATTTCTTCCTCTTTCAGTGAAATATATCCTTGATTACTAAGATCTTGCAATCCTTTGGATTTTCTGCTGTAAAATCAATATTGTCAATATGCAGTTTAACAATAAATATATATTTGTAAGAATGAGCTAAGTACTGATCACATCCTACTTTTTTTTACTTTTAAAATAGAATATAGAATATTTTTTAAGTTCTTGGATTTGTATATTAAAGTATTAAAAATATCCACTGATTTCTCATTAAAAAAAATTGGTAAAACTGATAACTTCAAGAATGTAAAGAGAGATGCTAAAGTTAATTAACTAATAGTATCCAGAAGAATGTTATGGAAATCTGCTGTCCCAGTCACAAATTTTGATATTGCTTTACAGTTATCCCAATAGCACAAGAAATTTTTAAAAATCTTTTGAAATTACCAATACAAGACAACATTATTAGTAGTCTATTGTTGTGAAATACATATTTTTTTAGTTTTCATTTTAAAAGTTGCCAAATCTTTAATATAATTGTTACATATCTGATGCTGCATAGATATTGTGTTGCAGATATGTTATTTGGCTGCTCTGGTTCTCTTATTCCCCATACATATTAAAAGAAACACTTAAGTTTCTGGTATTATACACGCAGTGTTTTCTTGAGCTCCGGATTACCTACTCCCACTCCTTTGCCAACATTAGTTGAATTAAGAATAAATGATAGCAATGAGCGTTGTAGGCAAAATTTGGTAACCAGAAATGTTCGCTCTGTGTAGTAGAAACTATTTTGCTTTGAAAATAGAAAAAACAAATTTGATGTAAAGTTCCTTTTGTGAAAAAACCAAACTCCCCACTTCTCTCGCCACTAGCCAAGCAAGGACTCGAGAGAACATGCACGAATAATATTATTTTATTAAGGATGCTGGAATAATCCAATAATTCTATTTATTTAAAATGTCTTCTCTGTAAATTGCTACAGTAATTTCAGCTTTTGTTTTTCTTGTTAAAATTTCTCTGAACAAATTTAATTATTAAAACACATTGGTTACTCAGTAACAGGGTCACATCTTGAATGCATTGATTGTTGCAGAATAATTTCCAACCTAACTGACTCTATAGTAAGGTGACAGGATGATGATGATTTAATATCATACAACAGGCAATTCTCAGGCCTGAAACCATTCAAAGAATTGCTCATCTCAATGACTTGGTGGTTAGAGCAACTTCATTGAGCACATTTAATTATTAAAATTGTAAAATTGTCAATTACTTTATAAAGAGAATTTTGCTATTATTTATCCATGTAGCTATCTAGCAGAGTTAGGAAAAGTTTTTTTTATTTTTTTATGGTGGTGATTATTTTTGGGAATACTATTTTTAAATTTATTTGAAATAAAATACTGATTGTCATTATTTGAAGCAAACAGCAATACATTCAATCCTGCCAAGTGTACATTTCTATTCAAGAATTAATGCTCTCACATTCTTCAAACTCGTATGATAATTACTGGAATCATACATTTTCATTAATATTATGTTTGGATAATGTAGAACTTTTAGCAAAGTTGCAAAACAAGATTGTGTTTCACAGTATATTTTATACTTGTGTTAGTTTTTTTATTTGTGTGCTTGTAATGATGAAATTGGAGTTTTCAATACTAGAAAAAGTGGTTTGTATGTATTGTCAGTTTACTTCACTTTGTACTTGTTTTTTTCTTGTTTGTATGAGTTTTTAATTAATATTTTGATTCATAAAATTATGCATTCTGTTTTTGAAATATTTTTTTTTTAATTTTAAAAACATTTAAATGGTTTTGTAATTTTAAAACAGCATTTTGTTTTATTTTTTGACCTGGGAAAAATTTAGCCAACATTGCTTGGTAGTGTAAAAATTAATAACCAGAGGAGGAATTTAACTCACTTAATGCTTAAGGGAATAAGAGTTTAAATGTTCATTACCAATTATAAACGTGTGATTTAAAGTTTAATTTTAATGCCAAAGTCTTATGAAATATGTTAACATAAAAAATTGTATTTTTTTGTCATAGGTGCTGATGGGACATACCATTTCAAAATGTTAGTACCAAGTGTTGCTGCTGGTGCTATTATCGGCAAAGGTGGTGACACAATTGCGCAATTGCAGAAGGATGCAGGAGCTCGTGTCAAAATGTCCAAGGCTAATGACTTCTATCCAGGTATCTTATTCATTATGTCCCTTTATCTATAGTGTAAATAAGGTCTGAAGCTCTGGCACTGGGTCTAGCATATTTGAAGACTAGCTTTTGTGTTGTGAAAAAGTTGTAGTAAGCTTTTTGGAAATTTCATCATAGCTTCCTAAGAGGTGCCACTTGTGTGCTTAATTTGCCAACATTTCAGACATCTTATCATGACCTTCAGAGTTGAATGATGCCACAATAAGGTTGCTGAGATCTTGACCAACCACTCCCCAAACAATTGCCGGAATGGCAAGATCAATTGAGTCCGGCAACAGAAGTTACTTTTTTTATGTTGAAAAAATAAATATTTAAATAAATTCATGGCATTTTTAGATTGGAAAAGGTCAGAACGGTTTTAGATGTATGCAAAATTAATACAATTTCGACAGAAATATAAATTTCTTTCATTAACGATTTTTTTTTTACATTGTACTAATGTATGATAATCAATATTAACGAATATACCATCATTGGGCGTCATCCGTTAGATAATACCAAGGCCCCCTGTCGTCGATTCTCTGTCTGCTCTTTGACTCCCTGATTCTCACGGCTCCATCATTTATACCTCTTGAGGTCCGTAGACCTCTGTGAATACACAGCCACCTGTGGCGCGCACGACGACCCCGCAGGCAGAGCAAATCGCCCAACCACTCGCACTCAAGAGGAAATGGTTTATTAGAAGATTCATGGTTTGGAAGGGGTCCAACCGTGCCACAACACAGAAAGCTACAACCACGAAAGCATAGCCTTCCGTGGCCGGAGTCAGTACCTACTTAGTAGCTATCGATTTGAATGATTGAATTTTTACATGCCAACATGAAATGCATGCAATTAATGCCAACATGAAATGAAAACAAAATGTATTATCTTGGTACGCTTATACACACAGTCTAATCACATTAATTTGACGCCTATGCTCGAAGTAAATTTGCAATAACTCTTCAGACTGGTTGGTAGGCTTCCGCGGCCGGAGCTTGTGTTATGTAGGCTATCCGGGACGAACCACGTCACTGACATGGTGGCTAACGTTTCGACCAGCGTATTGAGGCCTTGCTCAGAGCATACTGCTAACTCTTCAGACTACAGGTGGCATCAATAACAATGGATGGTATTATAAAGAGTGTCAGGTGGAAGCGGAAAACGGCGCAGTTGGACGACCAAAGGGGGCATTGGTTTTTGGGCCAAGGGCGGAAGTATTTCCTAAACGACCAAGTTAGTAAAGTGATCGTGTGCCGCCTTTGTTAAAGTACACTGTGCATGGCAAAATGGAGATATCCAAAGCCAGCGACGAAGCAATTGTGGTGTGGTGTACCATGGGCCACCTGACAGGGGAGAACGACGGCTATGGAGATGTGTACGGACAGATAGATTTGCAACTGTGGAGCAACTGACCAGCCGTGTGAATCAAGGGGCTACCAACAGGGTTTCCTCATCTGTTAAGCGAACGTTGCTGCATATGGACCATCGCAGCAGGCGCCCTGGTTCATGCACCCTTGCTGACTGCTGTTCATCGGCGACGAAAGCTGGAATTTGAGTAGCTGTGTTACTTATAGTTTCTCTCTAATTCTATTATTTCTTATCCAATCTCTTCTTGTTTTCCCTACTATCCTTTGAAGGAATTTCATTTCAATTCACAGCCCAATAAATTGTTTTTGCTAGCCTTTTTGAGCGGGTTAAGATCTCACCAGATATATAATAGGCGATCACTTTATAGTGACCTTTTCGTTCGAAAAATAAGTAATTGGTCTGAAACTTTCATTTGTGCCGACATATGTGATGAATCCTGTTCTGAATGTAGGGTATACGAAAGTATTATGTTTCAAACCTATGTACAGTATTAAAAACTTCAAAATAATTTTCATGTTGAAGATATTGAATATATTTCCAAATATAGCAACTCTTGAGGTAAATTTGTGACATTGCAGAAAATTAACCATAAAACTAGATTAATGTTTTTTGTATTGTTGTTATTATTATTATTATTATTATTATTATTATTATTATTATTATTATTATTATTATATGCTTCGGAGCAATGCCTAAAAATTATAAAAGGCCATTGGGTACATGTAGTTATAAGATGTATTCTGAAGAAAAATTAAATGAATTAATGCTGTGAAGTAGAAGAAATTTCGTAAAAGTCATTTCTTGGGACATATGAAAGGACATATTCAATCATTAACATTGGCAAATCATTACGGGATACAATAAATTTTGTTTCTTCTGTGGTTTCCTATAAATATAAACATAAAGGTAATTGTATTTTTGAGTTTTATATACATACAAATTACGAAAAATCATGTTTACAAAATTGCCCAATCGTTGGGGAAACATTGTGACAACTTTCAATAAATATTTCATATAATAGTTATACCAAAACAATTATCCCTCATAATTTATCAAGAAAACCTAAATCTTTCAAATTATATGTATACTCTACATGACATAATTTTGGTGTTATATTGAAAGAAAGAAAAAACACTAAAAAGACGACACAATTACACCCCCGCTTACGGTAATATAAATTATAAACAACGTAAATTAATCATAAAATGTCTTTATAAAATTGATGTATTGAGTCCGACAATACGTTTTTTTCTACAGGAAATTCGCAGTTTTTTCGCGGAGCATTACTTAACTTTCTCTCTACGGCGTAAGCTTTAGCGAGAAGTAATGGTAATTTGTAATTAAAATCGTTGAATTCAAAGTGCAAAACGACAACGGATTATGTCCTAGGGTATTAAATATTCCATTCTATGATACAGATGTGAACAGATAAAATTTAAATAAAAACACACGATATCGATTTACAAATTACACATTCGGTTACTTATAAACATTCCTGACCATGACTAAAGAAAGTCTAAAAGATTGCACAAAATATCTCAATCCTCTTCTACATATTCTTTTTTATTAATTTCTTTCTTTTCTTATTTTAAATATTTTCTTTCTCTTCTTGAGTATGTATTACCGCCTGGGGCGAATCCAGCTGGTCGTTTTGTAGGAAGGCTATCGTAGATTTTTTGTAATAAGCATTATATTGTATATTATTTTTGTAGTGTATATATGTATCTATACAACATTTTAAAATAATTACATAGTTCTAGTATAAATAAATATTTAAATAAACTTTGTCAAATAACGGAAGGTAATGAACGAATGCGATAGGCCTTTTGAGATGGGGGGGTCCCTCCTGAATTCGCTACTGATATTACCACGACGTGTCCATGTAAGCCATCCATGCCCTATTCTCTTTTCGTGCACACTGTAATTGCGCTCAATGTCACAGCGTTCCACGATCACTTACTTGGCACCTATAGAGAGACCTTAACACCGTCCGTCAACACTATTTCCTGTTGCGTCGGGCACACGCCAATAAGTGGAAGTCGCCGTAGCACCGCTTGTCAAGCGGAGTAAGAAAGATACGTTGTCACACGCCTCTGGAAAACTGCCGAAGGCATTTTCCATACCCCTCAATGGGCTAAAATACACCGAGAATCAGCATTCCCATTCGTAAATCAGACTAAAGATAGAACGGGGTCTTAGGGTGAACGGATAATAGTTATATTTCCATAAGCTTGGGATACTATATAAAAGCCCGACTGTGAGTCGCGTGTGATCGATAAATTGTGATAATTTTTATTCAAATGTTTTGGTGGAATGTGTCATATTACAGATTGTGTAATGACGCAAGCTAAACTCAACTCGGATATGATTTTATTTCTTTTAATGAGTATTCAAATTACTTTCGCTGGAATGTTTCGTGACAAGTTAAAATTAATGGTTACTGGGGGAAAATGGGAGGTTTCCCTCATTCTCTTCCCCTTGGATCCGCATCTGCAAGCTATAAGTTACAGACTTGGACTCTGTATGCCCTTAAATCGGACTAAAACTGCACAGGAACCGGTCAGGTATTCCGCCCTGGCATGAACAATTAGAAGGGTCAGCTGGCAAAACACATTGGTCGGCCGTCCGGGGAAATATTGCACATTACGATATTTCTGTTTTATTTCTGCAGTGTAGTACGAAAGAGGCAATTAATTGTACGCCTTGGGACACAGCACACGGACGCGCCGGAGGGTTGTTGGCGAAAGGACATACGTCGACTGGTAGATTTACACCGTGTCAAAGCAATTGCGCTGTGGGCAATGACAAGCATAATGTTATTGGTTTCGTCCAAGCAACTTGGAAACTACAGTCTCCGGTGGCTGTACAAGACAACGGAGCCGCCAATTACGAACGGGCTCGGTGAAAATTTCAGGCTATGGATATCCATGCGTACCGACATAGCTGCGTTACGAGATTCTTAAAAACTACGTTCTACGACAGAACTAAACTTCTATTATTGGTGAGCTCCTAATACTTTCTCACCCCATTGTGAGGTAAACTGTGTAATTACTTTTTTGATCGCTGGAAGTGAAACTGGAGTGTTATACATTTCTGTACAATGTTATAAAGTTCTGTTAATAGTTATCTGAAGTTATGAGAGAGTTGCAGCAGCAAATGGATGTGTCAGTGACAGTATTGTGCACGAACTCGTGAAGTAGAGGGTTGATTCCCATTGTACTAGTTATTTTTATCTATTCATTAACTTTAAAATACACCAAATTACTAAATCCTGCTTTTGTGTTATCACTGTAATACACAAAGGAATGCAAAACACGTGTCGGCGAACATTTAAATTCTGAAGAATGAAAAAAATATAGAAAGCATGGACATGCTACATGGACTGGTCCCCCGACATGTGTAGTAGTGCATTCCATATGCTCCAGCAGTTGCCTGGAAATTGATAGAACCCACAGGAAAGCTATCGACCAGAATAGCCGGCCGCTAGAATTCTTTAGGTAGCGGCTGAATTCAACCTAGCTACGTTTGTAGCTAGTATCGAAAATCGCCTCCGTCGGAATTGGAGCCCTAGGACCTCCCGGTCAGTCTCCGCAGAAACAATGTTGATGCTGGCTCTGAACTAACTCTGTTGG